GAACTTACACGCCTTGTCTGCATTAAACCTCACAGCTGCCCCTCCTAGCATTCTGTGAAGTACTCCTACTGTAATCATATCATAGATGGGAAACAGGCTCAGAGATGGAAACCATGCGTGCGGGGTCACACAGCAAGCCTTCTGACTTCAGCATCTTCACTTCCCCACTGCGCTGTTGGTATTTCGTTCCCACCTTGTAATCCATACGTGTATTTCAAGCCTGCCACTGGGCCCCATGTGGATCTCTCCCATGTCGGAGCTGCTGTCACAAGCCATAAGATTTTAACCTGTGAAAGTATACCATGTAGGAAAATGTAACAAAAGTGACTCTGAGAACAAGAATTCCTGTTGTACTTGGAAACGATTTGCTGAAGACGCACCGCCAAAGGGCTCCAAGGAGCCAGATTGTTCTGCCCAGCCCACAGCTGCTAGAGCCGCCAGTCGTCTGTGGCCAGCAGTGACCCTGATGGCCTTCACAGCTGCCTGCAACAGTCTGAGGATGCCCCGGGTAGCAGACCCCTAGAAAGCACCGCCCTAGTCCGAGTCTCCAGCTGTACAGGTCTCTGTCCTAGTCATCATGGCCCTGCTCACCTCTCAGCCCGCTCTCGGAGGGGATCTGAGTGAGACCCGTCCCGGCAGAATCAGCCTTTGGAAACTCGCCGTGAAGTGCAGTGTGAACCGAATTAAGCTTAGTGTCACGTGGGTGGAGAGGCGTGGCTGGTGACAAAGAGGCCCCAAAGCTCAGGCAGGCTGTGCTCGAGGTGGTTTGTGTTTGTCTCTGGGGAGTGAAAGTGATGGGCGACGCTACAGAAACAGGCCCGGGCTGGCCTCACCTTGCTTCACACGGTTCACACCTGCCTTGAAGGCAGCGTTGGTGCTCCAGGAGCTATTTTTGAACCTTTTAGATTTCAGCTCAGTTGGGGACAGAAGCCTAGTAGCTTGCATGAAGTCACTGGCTTATAGGTGGCGAACTCTCTAGAGGCTCCTGCTGGCTGTACTTGGTTGGTCTTTTAATAGAAAAGTGATGCAGTCTCGAAGGCAGATTTCTGGATAGGACTCTGGGAAGAGGGGATGGAATTATAAAAGGCGTTGTAGATCAGCACTGCCTGAAAGAAGCTCGCCTCCTGCTGCCCAGTTAGCAGACATGTCATACCAGATGTCTGGCAGAGGGCTGCTGAGAGTCTTCCACCTTGGTCCTTTCTGGAAAATTTCTGGCCTAGTTTGTCTGAAAGAAACAATGACCTGTTAGGTCTTGCTTTTGTGGAACTGTTCAATAGCCACTTTGAACCTGTTTTCTTTCAGCACTTACGAGGAGTTTACCAATTCAGAATTCCTGATACCTCTTGTCATTCTGTCTTGGCTATTAGAACTGATTTTCTTTTTTTTTTTTTTAAGGTTTTTTGCCATAGGGTGCATGTGCTCACTGGAAAGAGAAAGAGACTCAGAGGGAAAGTAAGAAATCACCCTCCCCCCCAAGAGGGGGTGGCCATGCCACAATCCCTTCACCTCTATTCTCTCAGGATTTGGGGCATACACACACAAGCCTGGAGGGATTTTTCAGGCTGCCAGGTCTGGGATTCGAACCATGGACATCCATGTGGGATTCCAGCACCTTAGCCACCATGCACTTGCTATCTCCTGGTTTGTTGTATTTTAAAATCTGTTAGATCTGAAGATTACCATATTTGAGCGTAACTGAAATAATGTTGCAGCCTTAAGTAGCACTTCCCAAAAAAGAATGAATGAGCTATAATGTACGATAAGCTTTTGTGTCTACCTGGAAGGACGTGGAATGCAGGCTGCAGTCATACTTAAGGTTAAGACTATGACCATGGGGAACCAGCAATTAGCGTAATGGCTATGTCGCTGGACTCCCACGTAGTTGACCGCAGTTCGCGTCCCGGACCCGGTGGCTGAGAACTCACGCCGGGCATGTGTGCGTGTGTGCCCAAGATCCCGAAAGGAGAATGGAGAAGGGATTGCAGCGTGACCATCCCCCCTGGGGGGTGATTTCTCGCTTTCTGTCTCTATGTCTCTCTCTGTCTGGTGAGCGCACAGACCCTATAGCAAAAAAACCTCTCCAAAATAAATAAAATAAAATAAAATAAAGACTATGACCATGATGGCAGGTGGTGTGGTTAGAGGACTGGATTCCCATGTGGCCAACCACAGTTCAAGTCCCATACCTGGTGGCTTGCTTTCTCTTTCGCTTTCTCTCTCTCTGGTCAAATTAAAAAAAAAAAAAAAAAAAAAAAACACACGCGCAACGCGGCCC